CCCCCCCCTCCGCAAACCCTCCCGGCTCCAGCTAGTGTCAATCAGCCCAGTCCCGTTACACTCTGGGCCTTCGCTCCCTCTGTTCTCTAGAGCTCCAGCCGGCCCCTCCCCGCGAAGCTGGGAATGTTGGCGCGCTGCCCGGGCCGTCCCTCCGCTCTGTCTGGGGCAGGACGGGAGCCCCAGGGAAGGGCAGGCTGGTGACACTGTTCCTGTCTCCTCCAGGCACCACCTGGATGCAGGAGATCCTGACCCTCGTTACACTCTGGGCCTTCGCTCCCTCTGTTCTCTAGAGCTCCAGCCGGCCCCTCCCCGCGAAGCTGGGAATGTTGGCGCGCTGCCCGGGCCGTCCCTCCGCTCTGTCTGGGGCAGGACGGGAGCCCCAGGGAAGGGCAGGCTGGTGACACTGTTCCTGTCTCCTCCAGGCACCACCTGGATGCAGGAGATCCTGACCCTGATCCTCAGCAAGGGGGACCCGGAATCAGCCACGACCATCCCGAACTGGGCCAGAGCGCCCTGGCTGGAGCAGAGGTACTGCAGGGACGTGCTGCCAGCACGCACCTCCCCTGCCAGGTCCTGGCCCCGGCGCTGAGGCAAGCCAAAACCAAAGTGAGTGCGGGCGGCCTGGCCCGGCCGGCGGCGAGCGAGGTTCGGCACAAGCGTGGCCCTGCTGTGCTCTATGGGGGCTTGTCTCGGGTCTGGGCGCGGCTGAGAGGCCCTGCAGAGAAGACGACTCACATGGGTGCCAGAGACACCCGGCCCGCTATGGCAGTGTCTCAGTCTCATCCCCCCCTCCCCCACCTGGGATTGCCCTAGGTTGGGCGGGTCTGTCCCGGCTGAGTAAGCCTGTGGCTGAAAGGGGCTTCCCCTGGTGCTTTCTGAGTAAGCACCCTGCTGGCGAAACGGGCTGCTCCGAGGCACCAAGGCTGTGATGCTGGGTCCCACCCCCTTGTTCAGGGGACAGTCCGGCAGACGGGCTCTTGGGAAGGGCAAGGGGGCAAATCCCCCAGCTCAGGGCAGCCGGGTGGAGCCGCCCTCCTAGAGCAGGGCAGGGCACGCCTCCCGGGCGTCTGTGTGTCCGTCTGACACCGGCATCCTTCCTCTGCTCCCAGGTGATCTACGTGGCCCGGAACCCCAAGGATGTCGTGGTTTCCTTCTATCATTTCCACAAGATGGCCAAGTTCCTGCCTGACCCCGGCTCCTTCGAAGACTTCCTCCTGCACTTCCTGGATGGCACAGGTCAGTGGATCACCCCCGCCCTTCTCCGCCGCCCTCCCTTGCTTGGAGGGCTGCACCCTACGCGCCGCCAGGGACGGGGCTGCCTCCTCCCTCCTGTGGGTCACGCTCACGTGTGGGGCTTGGCCTGAGTCCAGTGCCCCAGGACAGGGCTGCAGGGTAGCTGAGCCAGTGGGGCTGAGGGCTGGCTCCAGGCTGCCAGGACCAATGCTACTGCTAGGCGCAGGGTTGGCGGCAGGCTCCCCGGGGCCAGCGCTGGAGCTGTCCCCAGGCCAGACCTGGCTCTCAATCCTGCCTCTCCCACCATGCAGTGCAGTACGGCTCCTGGTTCCAGCACATCAAGGGCTGGCTCGGCCAGCAGCTCGACCTGGATCTCTTCTACATCACCTACGAGGAACTGCACAAGGTGAGTGAGCCCCAGGCTCCCGGCTGCCGTGGGGCACCGCCGGGGGCAGCTGAATGGCCTGCCTGCCATAGCCGCTCCTTGGCCTGAGCTTTAGGAGCTGAGCTCTGGCCGCGCCCCAGTGGCTTTGGCACGTGGGTCAGCAACTAACAGGCATTTGGGGCTGGTCAGGGGCAGGCTGGTTCCCAGTACAGCCTGGGGCAAATGACCTTCTCCCTGTGACCTGACCCACTCACATCACCCCTCCTGGCTGAGCCAGAGGCCCTGGAGAAGGGGCCTAGGCCCCCAATTGCTGGGGGGCCCCCTCACTAACTGCCCATCGCTGTGGCTTGGCAGGATCTGAGTCGCTCTGTCGAGCGCATCGCGGATTGGCTGGGCTTCCCGCTGCAGCCGGAGGAGATCCGAGTGATCGAGCAGCACTGCAGCTTCTCTTCCATGCGGGAGAACGCGATGGTGAACTACACTCTCATCCCCTGCGAGATCATGGACCACAGCCAGGGCAGGTTCATGAGGAAAGGTGAGAGGGGAGCAGTCCCAGCCCTGGCCAGGGCAGCAACGGCAAAAGGGCTCCACTTAGGGAGCGAACAGTCGATTTCAGAACGGAAAGTGGCCGTCTAGGAAGGAGCACGGCAGAAAGGGATCTCGGGCTCAGAGTGGACCACAAGCTAAATATGAGTCATCACTGTGATGCTGTTGCAGAAAAAGCAAACCTGATTCTGGGAGGCATGAAGAGGAATGTTGTGAGCAAGACACGAGGGCTACGTCTACACTAGCGGCTTTTTGCGCAAGAATGGCTGTTCTTGCACAAAAACTTGTGGAGTCTACACTGCACGTGTGTTCTTGTGCAAGTAAATGTACAGTCCAGCGTCGGAAAGCAGGGCTTCTTCCGGAAGAGTTACTCCTCTCCCCACGAGGAATAAGCCCTCTTGCACAAGAGCTCTTCCACAAGAGGCCAGTGTAGACAGGCAACATGAATTTCTTGCGCAAGAAAGCCCTATGGCTAAAATGGCCATCAGAGCTTTCTTGTGCAAGAGAGCGTCCACCTTGCCATGGATGCTCTTGTGCAAAAGCACATGGCAATGTGGATGCACTCTTGTGGAAGACCTTTTGCACAAGAACTCTTCCGCAAAACAGTTCGGCTATGTCTACGCTGGCGGGTTCTTGTGCAAGAACACATCCACACTGCCACGTCACTGCCACGTGCTTTTGCACAAGAGCATCCATGGCAGTGTGGACGGTCTCTTGCACAAGAAAGCTCTGATAGCCATTTTAGCCATAGGGCTTTCTTGCGCAAGAAACCCCTGCCGCACATCCACACTACCCTCTTGCACAAGAGACCTTACACTTGTTAGAAAAGAGCGTAGCTCTTGCGCAAGAAGCCCTCTCTTCCCACACCGTACTGTAAATCTTCTTGCGCAAGAGCAGGCAGGTAGCATGCACGCTCTGCAGAAGAACTGCTGTTCTTGCACAAGAACTCGCCAGTGTAGACATAGCCAAGGAGTCATTCTTCCGTTCTACTCTGCGCTGATTAGGCCTCAACTGGAGTCTTGTGTGCAGTTCTGGGCACCACATTTCAGGAAAAATGTGGAAAAATTGGAGAAGAGCAACAAAAATGATGACCGGTCTAGAAAACATGCCCTAGGAGGGACTGAAAGAACTGGGCTTGTTTCGTTTGGAAAAGAGAAGACAGATGTCACGATAGTGATTTTCAGATTTCAAGAAGCCCTCTCTTCCCACACCGTACTGTAAATCTTCTTGCGCAAGAGCAGGCAGGTAGCATGCACGCTCTGCAGAAGAACTGCTGTTCTTGCACAAGAACTCGCCAGTGTAGACATAGCCAAGGAGTCATTCTTCCGTTCTACTCTGCGCTGATTAGGCCTCAACTGGAGTCTTGTGTGCAGTTCTGGGCACCACATTTCAGGAAAAATGTGGAAAAATTGGAGAAGAGCAACAAAAATGATGACCGGTCTAGAAAACATGCCCTAGGAGGGACTGAAAGAACTGGGCTTGTTTCGTTTGGAAAAGAGAAGACAGATGTCACGATAGTGATTTTCAGATTTCTGAAAGGATGTCACAAGGAGGAGGGAGACAAATTGTTCTCCTTGGCCTCTGAGGACAGGACAAGCAGCAATGGGCTTAAACTGCAGCAAGGGAGGTTGAGGTTGGACAGGAGGAAAAACTTCCTGCTGGGTGGTTAAACACTGGAATAAATTGCCTAGGGAGGTTGTGGAATCTCCATCCCTGGAGATATGGAAGAACAGGTGGGACAGACACCTGTCAGGTATGGTCCAGCCGGTGCTTGGTCCTGCTGTGAGGGCAGGGGACTAGACTTGATGACCTCTCAAGGACCCTGCCAGGTCTAGTGTGCTAGGATTCTACAAAAGGGACTTGGTATGCTCCCTTCAGCCCTGGCTTCTCACTCTCACTCCCCCCCCCCCCCCGCGCTCCGGGG